AATAACTGAGTATTTTATTGATAAAGTATGTTGCCTTATACGGTAGTGATGTTAAGCGCGTTTTAATATTCTGATTTAATAATCTTACAGAGAGGATTATTAAAATAACAGAAAATAGGTTGGGTTAGCAGATTTTATTGCTTAAATTTCATGGGAAAAAGGAAAAATAGTATTACCCATTGTAATGAATAGAATCAAATGACAGATTAAACTTCCTTTTTTATTAAAATACAGATATACTTCAGTTGAATTTATCTATCCAAATTCTCCAGAAAAAAAAATCACAAAAAAATCTGAACTTTCCTCTGAAGACACCTTTCTCTTTTCAAAAATTCTTCTGAAAGGCCAGCGAATTTCCTCTAGAACTTCTCTCTCTGCGCCAACTTCTCCCGCGCCTTAAACAGCGTGGGAATCAACCCAGTCCCTGAAGTACGCCACTTCGGTATACACCCCGGGGTAGTTGGGGCGAGCGCAGCCATAGCCCCAGGACGTGATGCCATGGAGCTTTCCCCCGCAGACGAAGGGGCCTCCGGAGTCACCCTGGCAGGCGTCCTTACCTCCTTCTGGGAGTCCTGCGCACAGCATGGAGTCGGCGATCTCCGTGACGCCGTAGGATTGCCTGCAGGTGTCGTCATCCACAATAGGGACGTCCACCTGAGGAATGAGAGTTTGGATTCAAGAGACATTTGTTGTTTTTACTTGTTTGTGTCTATATATCGATAGATAGGTTGATAGATATCAAGGCGGATGCTTAGATAGACAGACAGGTAGAAAGATAGATGTAGACAGAAGAATACTTACAGCCATTAATAGAGAAACAAGCTTAGAATGTAAAGCCAGTTAAGTTATATTTAGTTACCCCCAAAGGCTAATAGATATCAAGGCGGATACTTAGATAGACAGGTAGAAAGAGAGATACAGACAGAAAACTACTTACAACTTCACATTATTAGAGAAACAAGATTAATATGTAAACCGCGTTAAGTTTCGTTTTGTTACCCCTAAAACGGAGTTCCATCTACGTTTTCTTTCACATGCAAGACAAGCAAGCATCCCATGAGAAGTTTACAAAAACTTTAACAACCAGGGCGACTTTACACAAGCTGAAGAAACATAAAAAAGATCGGAAAGATTAAAAAATAACCTTGATATCTTGCGTTAATAGCTCCTCCTTGGTCGTGGCGTAGTTATATGGAAAATGGATCTTCTCGAACAGTATCGTACATGACTAGGCAAAAATGTTTCTTAATTGAATTTGAAATTTCTCTGCTTATCTATTTATTAGTTTATATTCCAGCAGGCGTCATTTAGATTTATTTGTTAATTTAATCACATGAATCTCTTGATAACAATAAGGCATATAAACAAAATATTTTTTTAAAGAATCGTACAAACCAAAAATTTTCCTATTCAGGTTCCTTCCCTCCTCCTAAAATTCCAAAAAACAAAAAACAAACAAAACAACTACAAAAACAACACAAATATATACAAAAAATGAAAAAAACAGCAAACAGATATAATCATAATAATAAGATAGAAGAAAAAGAAAAATAGAAGTAAAAATAATAATAAAGGAATAGAAACAGAACCGCCAAAGGCACGCTACACAACAACAGCAATACACACAGCTTACTCTCCCACAATTGTTGTTGATATCGACTAACCATTTTTTCTAGAGTAGGTTCGCGGAAACGACAGGATAATGGTGACACGTGCGATGGGTATTTCGTAATTATTAGATAGTTATTGAAGGTTATTAGAGAAATTCCGTGAACTGTATCAAAGGGAGTTTTGCTGACCGGATTCGCTGCGTCTAAACCCTAACTCTGCTATTTTGGTTTATTCTTGTTGTTGTTATAGTTATTGCTTTTGTTATTGATGTTGATGTTGGTGTTATTGCTGTTATTGTTGTATGGTTATCATTATTGTAATTTAATTATTTTGATAAGGGTGTTATTGTTGTTATTATTATTGCTTTTATCATTATCATTATCATAATTATTATTAATATCATCATCATTGCTAGGATAACTAGAGAATGAGAGAGAGCGAGAGAGAGAGAGAAAGAGAAAGAAAGAGAAAGAGAGAATGGGCAATAGATATTTTACAAATAAATAAAACTATCACTTTGGCCAGTACATTTCGGGTTATGTTCAAAAGCATAAATTTTGAGAAATGCAAATTGAGTCGAACATAAATCTTATATCTGATCAGTTATATTGCCCGGTAACTGGAACACATATATCTACTGTTATATTTTCATAAGTATATAACATTTCCATTTGTTATATCCATGCTGTGTGTTATAGCCCAGATCAGAACATTACATAGGAAAAGTTAGTAAATATGTTATAGAGTTAACTAAATATTGCTGGTTTTCAGTATACAAGGCAAAAGTTATATAGGGTCAATGTTCTGTCTCTCTCTCTCTCTCTCTCTCTCTCTCTCTCACTCTCTCTCTCTCTCTCTCTCTCTCTCTCTCTCTTCTCTCTCTCTCTCT